CCATTTTTCCTTGTCTTTTCATCTCCAGAGTAATATATCATATGGTCATCTGACTCAAAATGCCCCATGCCAGTCCATTTCATCTCTCCAATGCCTAATATGTCAATATTTATGTGTTCCATTTCTTTCTCAACAATTTCTAATTTTCCTACATTCATGGCTCTCAGATTCCATGTTCCAATCACTAGGGTCTGCTTACAACTGTTCTTCCTCCTTTGTATTTCCATAATTTATAGTTCTGCCTAAGTTGCCCTTTCTGTTAGTCTGCGTGCGTTCTGTTGTGCATAGGGTTTTCAGAGGCCTGCTATTTCAGAAGTGGTTGGCCAATCCTTCTTCCCAGTCTGTCTTAATCTGAATGTTCAGATTTAGAGGAGTATCTGACAGACAAGCAATTTGTGGAGCAGTGAAAGATAAATCCCTTATTGTGGAGTTAAGCATTAGTTACAGTGTTGACCCCACCCCTAGCCCAGTGCCTTGACTAATCTGGTTTAATCGCTAAACTCTTTTGAAACCTATCTACCATGACTATTTAAAATACCAGTGGCATAGCTCACAGTATTACAATCACATGCAAGCCACTGCAGTAGTTACATTCCAGAATCAGCTAATTGAAGGAAAATAAATTTCAATTTTATTCCTTAAAAAGTCTCATTTAATTTATGCATGTAGCAACAGTTAAGGAACTGTGACAGAAATTAACAAATTATAAAAGGATTATTACAGAAATTTAAGATAGTTTTGGAATTTTACAAAGTCTGAACATGACAGGCATTTCCAATTTTCTTCTTAGGTAATTACTGAGTAACACATGAACAAAGCAAAATAAAACTCTCACATTCACATAAACACAAAACTAAAAGCTTCTAGGCAGCTATGAAATATCCTGGGAGCTCAAGAGTAGTGAGGCAAAAAGTGTTCTCTCCTTCAGGGACAGTGTGTGACTTATCACCTGGCAAAATGGGCAAAGCACCATCTGTTGGAGTCAATTCAGATGGGAAGATTCTTTACTTCTTTCTGATCCTGAAATAACCAAGAGAAGGCAAGACATGCCTCTGCTTCAGAACATGTTCTTCCATCACTCTCCCCTTGTTTCTCTTTCAAATTGCTGCCTAGACTGAAATAGCACACACCTCATCCTTGGCTGAACACTTGGACAAAATCAGAATAAAATGAAATAGGTCACAATCTTTTTGCTAGCACAGTGTTTAAAAAAATATAAACAATACTAGTTGAGGCACAATATTGACCCCTGCTTATGTTGGGACATACAAAACTGTGCTGAAATTTTATAACACTGAAAACATTCCTTTAGGCTCCTGTTATTGGCTATATTCACGTTCTCTTTCACCTACTATGTCAGCTCTCAGCCAAGATTTTTCTCCAGGTATAAACAAATAAACTTTGTAAGTGACATTCCACACTGTCTCCTCTGCTTACCTCACCAAGATCATCTCAGGGCCCTGTCAGAAGCTCTTTTGTCTTTAGACAGTGTGATTATGTTTTAAAAGTCACAAGATTACACCTAAAATACTGAGGTATTACCTATGTTACTTTTTCAACAACATTTAAAACGCAAATCAGGGCTTACTCAAGTCATTTGAGGAAATAATCACAGAAGTCAAGATGAAGTGAACATGAGGGAATGTGAAGAAGTAAAGGGTGGAAAGATGGAAAGGAGATAGTTTGTTGTGAGCCACCAACTTGAATACAACTCACAGTGACCCTATGAAGCTTGATCTATTTTGTGCTATCTTCATAATCTCTAATATACTTGAGCCCCCTGTTATAATGTCTGTGTCAATCTATCTTGTTGAGGGCCTTCCTCTCTTTCTCTGACTCTCCACCTTTCTTTTTTTTTTTTCTATAATTATATTTTATTAATTTTCATAAACATTTACAGAGATTTTGGGCTTCCACTCATTCATTGTTGCACTATTCTCTCTACCCTCCTCCCAGTTTGTTCTTGTCCAAATGCCACAGTGCTTGTCAAAGCCAGTTCTGATTAATCTTCTTTGTCAGTATATCCTTTGCCATTCCCTATCACTCCTCCCTGAGAGAGACTTCACCCTGAGTCATAAGGAAAAGGGGACGGCGTATTCTCTTAGCTACTTCCTGCTGAAAAGGGACGCTGTGGGTTTCAGGGTGAAGATCTTCTCTCACTACTCTAAAGGGCCCCTTTGGCAGTAGGAAACACATAGACTATTATGGAGATTGATTTGGAATTCAGATGCACTCTTATTGATTGTGCTTGGCTGTACATGTACATATCCTTGAAGATGTATCATGGGGTTGTTGCAACCTAGAAGACACAAATTTGACTAACAAGTTATAAGTACATGAGTCCAAAAATTATGGAAAAGTAAAAGAAAAGATTCTTTCATTGTGATGTATTTTTTTCAAGGTCTGGTTCTTCCTAGTGACATGCCCAAAATATGTGAGATGAAGTTCACCATCCTATTGTTGTTGTTATTATGGTTCATTGAGTCAGCTGTGACTCATAATGACCCTATGTACAACAGCTCTGAAGCCTGCCATGTCCTGAGCCAGTCTCACTGACTCTAACACACCTACTCTGATTACCTTAGTTACTGTATCAGTCTGTATCATCAGGGTCTTCCTCTCCTGTGCAATCCCTCCATTATTCCAAGCATGATGTCCTTTTCCAAGGACTGTTCCCTCCTGGACACATGCTCAACGTTAGTGAGATGGAGCTTCAAAATCCTAGCCTCCAAGATAAAATTTGGTTTCCTCTTTTTTCAAGACAGACATAGTTGTTTTCCTGGCAGTCCATGATGTATTCAAGACTCTTCTTCAACACTACAACTCAAAGGTATTGATTCTTCTTCGGTCATCCTTAGTCATTGTACAGAACTTTGATGCACAGCAAGTAATTTTGAAGACCATGGTCTGGATCAAGTATACCTTAGTCTTAGACTGACATCATTACTTCTTAGTTCTCTGGAGAAGTACCTTACCACAGATTTTCCCAGTGTAAATTGTCTTTTTATTTTCTGACTGCTGATGCCAAGAGTGTTGATTGTGAAACCTAGAAAGCTATAATTGTTAAGTTCAATCTCTTCTTCCTTTATCATGGTGCTGCCAATTGGCCCAGTGGTGAGAATCTTTGTCTTCTTGATGCTGAGCTTCAATACATATTGAAAACTACAGTTCTTAATATTCTGCAGCAAATACTCCAGGTCCTCCTCAGTTTCAGCAAGTAAGGTTGTGTCATCTGTATAACGTAGGATTTTATGAGTCTTCCTCCAATCCCGATGTCACATTCCTTCTTATAAATCTCAGCCTCCCAAATGATCTGCTCTGCATATATATTGAAAAGGTATGTCGATAGGACATAATTTTGATGCACTCCTTTCCTGATTTTGAAATATGTATTGTTTCCTTGCTCTATTCTGAAGACTGATTCCTGATTTGAATATAGGTTTTTCATGAGCACAATCGAGTGTTCTGGGATCCCCTTCTTTTCATAGTCAGCCACAGTTTGTTGTAATCCACACGGTCAAATGTCTTTTGCATAGTCAATGAAAAACAGTTAGACATTCTTTTAGTACTCTTTGCTTTCAGCCAAGATCCATCTGACATTGGTAATAATGTCTCTAGTGCCACGGCCTTTTCTAAATCCAGCCTGTGTTTCTGTTCATCCTCTGTTGATGGTTTTTTCAGTCATTTTTTAAAAATAATCTTCACCAACCTAGGAGATTAAAATCATTGAAAGAGAAAGAAGTTCTTGTTCCAAGTTCTTGTTCCAACTAAAAAGAATGCTTCCTGAAGGGATAATTTATTAGTTATATAGCTCAGAGCACTCATTCTTTTTCTTCAATGTAGAACTGACTCATAGTTGATCCTCCAGTGAGTTTTCAGAGGCTATTAATCACACAGGAAGAGATTTTCCATCTTTCTCCTATGAAGATGTTGGTGGATTTAAACAGATAGAATGGAATCATTTTTGAGTTAGCTGCACAACTCCCTAGAGACTAGTATTCTTTATCACAAAGAGAACAGTAATAGTGTCTTTCCCCCCTATAGCATCGTTTTTAAGGAACTCTACTGAATTGTGAGCTACTTATCTCTTTCTATCACTTCTCAGGAAGTAAGTCGAGATGTTGTAGCACTTTCCTCAGAGAATATTTCACTTCTTTGTTTCTTAGGCTGTAGATCAAAGGGTTCAGCATAGGGGTGACCAGGTTGTTCAGAACCTGAACAGTTGCATTAAGCCATGGATTAGGAGTGGGCTGAAGGTAGATGAGAACCACTGGCATAAAGGAGAGAAGGATGGCAGTGAGGTGGGCACTGCAGGTTGAGAAGGCACGACGTTGACCCTCTGAGGATCGTATTTGAAGAATGGAAAAGACAATGAAACTATAGGAAGTGAGAATAAGAAGAAAGCAGCTGAGGGGCATGAGGCCCACACTGATAAATCCCACCATCTCCAAGGCTGAGGTATCTGCACAGGCTAGCTTCAACATCACTGGAATATCACAGAAGTAATAGTCCACCTCATTGGGACCACAGTACGGCAATTGGAATGTTAGAGTAGTTAGAAAGATTGCCTGAATACAGCCAAAAACTGAGGTCCCCATGGCCAGGAGAGCGCATATTCTGTGGCTCATGATGACTGTGTAGCGCAGAGGGTAACATATGGCCACAAAGCGGTCATAGGCCATCACGGTGTACAGAAAGCACTCAGTGCAGCCCAGAAAATGGTAAAAGAAGAGCTGGCACACACAGCCAGCATAGGAGATAGTGCGACTATTCCCTGAGAGATAGAACAGCATCTTGGGGGAGCTCACTGACGGGAAAAAGATGTCACATACAGAAAGCTTGCACAGAAAGAAATACATAGGTGTGTGAAGTCGAGTGGAGGAGATAATTGCAAGGAGGATGAGTAGGTTTCCCACCAGAGTGAAGATGTAGAAAGATAAAAACAAGACAAATAGCATGGTCTCCAGACCTTCTGTGTGTGGGATGCCCAGCAAAATAAACTTGGTCACCATAGAGAAGTTTTTCATTTTTTTTTTTTTTGGTCAGAATGGCACAGGATTACAAATTGTGAATACTGATGTCAAATGAAGAATCTCTCTGATGGATGTATTGACTTCATGTTTTAACAATCAAACTTCTGATACAGGGGCAAATCTACATAAAAACAGAAAAACAATAAAAGTTCTTAACTACATTCTGAAACTTTTGTTTTAGCTAATTTGAATCCAGCTTACTACAATATATTTCCACAGGCTGCAATTCTTTGTTATTGTTGTTGGTTTTATCTAGTTGGCTAGTTATTACATAATCAATTGACTCAACTCACAACAGAACAAAATACTATACATGATTCTGCGCCATCTTCATAACCTCTTCTGTGCTGTGCTATGTCAGTCCATCCCCTTGAAAGTCTTCTTATTTTTTGCTGAGTCTTTACTAAGTATGTCCTCTTTTTTGAGGACTGGACACACTTGATAGCATGTCCAAAGTAAAACACAGATAAAATACAAAATCAATTTTTCCAGTGTACGAATAGTATATTAAGTGGAGAAAACAAAAAACCTAAAGAAGAAATTCCCAGGACTATTAGTTTCCATTTTTTCCTAACTTTGTTCTTGTGTTTGTATGTGTGTGTCTTCTAAGAGTAGACTTCAGATATAGAGTTAGATGGTGTTTTCTTAGGATACTAAACTACAACAGACACACCACCTTTGACATGCAAGTGTCAGGAAGTTGTCATGAGTCTGACACAGTGATACATAAATATGTTATTTTAATATTGGTGACACATAAAAAGCTATTCTTACAAAGCTCCATTCTCTTTCGCTTTTTCTTCCATTGTGTTTTACACTTAGATTTACACAGAGTTTTAAGTGTTTTGGTTTGGAGAATTATGTTGTTTGCTTGTGAAATTTACTATATCTTAATGCTCATATTTCCAGCTATGCATTTCCCCTCTAAATATTAGCTTGATTACCTGCATTAATACATAGTATCTTCACTTTCAGTAATCATCCTGAATTTTCCTAGTTATCTCTAGATTTAATTTTCAAAATAATATTTATTTAGGAGTGTGTTGTTTAATGTCCATATTTTTGTGAGTTTCTTACATTTGTTATTAATGCCTAACTTCATTTCATTGTGATTAGAGAAAATATTTATATTATTTCTATCATTTTAAATGTATTGAAACTTACTTTGTAGTGTATTATTTGTATGTTAGAATTATATCCTTTCTCTATACCAATTCTTTCTATATTCTGAGCAAATAATTAGAGGATCTGGATTATATGAGAAGAATGTGGCATCAGGATAAAAGTAGGACTCATCAACAGCCTGCGTTATGTAGATGGTACAAATGTACCTGCAGAAAGTCAAGAAAAGTTAAAGCACTTACTAAAGAAGATTGAAGACTACAGCCTTCAAAGATTGAATCTGCTGATTATGGAATTTTTCTTGAATCCACAATCAGTACACACATGGTAGCAGGGTTGGGGAATCAAAAGATGTGTTGCACTGAAAATATCTTCTGTCAATGACCACTTTAAAGTGCTACAGAGAAAGGATATCAGTTTAAATACTAAGTTGTCTTTAACACAAAGACTATGGTATTTTTAGTTGCTTAGCATGCATACAAAAGTTGGATAACTACTCCTTTGAGTTGTGGTGTTGATGAAGTGCATTGAATATCTTACTGACTGCCAAAACAACAAACAAACCTTTCTTGGATGCAGTGCAACCAGGGTCATCATTAGAAGTAAGGATGCTAAAACTTTGTTTCATAACCTTTGGGCAGGTATACAGGAGGTATGAGCCCTTGGAAAATGACAAGTTGTTTGGGAAAATGAGAGTCAGCAAAAAGAAAGAAAGCCTTCAAGGAGATGAATTGACTCATTAATGACAAAAATGGGCTTGAACATGGCATATACGGAGAGAATAATACAGAATAGTGTAAGGTTCCAAGATGTTGTTCACAATGAGTCACAGTTAACTTGATGGCATCTAATGACAACACTACACTACACTACACTACACTACACTACACTACACTACACTACAATAACTATGTGTGTTTCTCTAGTGTTTATGGGGTTTTCAAAGTCCTTTTCTTTAAGAAGGGAATGGCCAATTCTGCTTCCTAGTGTGTCTTAATCTGGGAGCGCTACTAAAGCCTGTCCACCATTGGTAAACTTTATGGCATTTGACACACTAGTGGCACAACTTTCAGTATCAATGCAACCCAGAAGTTAGTCAGTACAACAAACTGACAGATGAGTGCTGTACCAGTTAGAACCATATTCTCCCAAACACAACAAACTGTAAATTTAGTTTGCAACTCTAATAGCAAATCAGTCTTTACTGGGCCCTGGGCCCAAGTAACTTTTAATCACAAAGGCCCTCCCACTGGGCCCTGATTAAATTAAACAAGAAACTTTTAATTATTTGCTAATTATATTTTATTTGCCAATGAAATGAAAATAACCAAATGGCTTACCCTTGACTATTAAGTAAATCAAAACAAATTCCAGATTTCAATTGCTGCAGCAAATAGGCTCCAAATTGGAAACTTTTAGGCAAGACACAGCTGAATAAGCACCCAGGCCTCTGAATACTCTATGAACACTAGAGGAAAATGGATAGTTATAGTAATGTAGCTATAGCGCTTATATTGGAAGTCAATTAAAATGAGGAAAAGTAATGACAAATATCATTTAATAACTTATATGGTTCTAGAGGGTGAGACCAGGCTGGTTCTTGGAGTCAAGGATTCTGAAGCTTCGTCTGACATACTTTTGGCAAGTTGCAAGGAGGGATCCATCCTTGGAGAGGGACGTCATGCTTGGGAGGGTGGAGAGACAGCACAAGAGAAAACCCTCAATGAGATGTATTGAGTCAGTGACTGGGATAATGGGGATATGTGTATCAGAGACAATATTATTGGCACAAGATATATCAGTGTATAGGGTTGTTCTATGTAGGGTCACTATGACTCACAGACAACTTGATGACAAATAACAACAAAACATGTTGAAAAACTAGAAATTGTTAAATATGAAACTAAACACATGAACATCAATATGCTAGGCATTAGTGAGACGAGATGGAGCAGCTTTGGCCACTTTGAATCAGATAATATATGATATACTGGGAATGAAAAACAGAAGAAGAATGTTGTTGCATTCAAAGTTAAAAAGAAAGCCCACAACTTCAAGTTCTGTTCTGAAATACAATATGGTGAGTCATAGGATATTACCGATATGCATACAAGAAAGACTCATTAGTATAACTATTATTCAAATATATATCCCTATATCTAGAGCCAAAGAGAGATAAAATGAGTATTTTTACTAAATCTTACAGTTCAAAATTGACCAAATATGCAATCAAAATGCATTAGGGATATTGGTGACTAGAATGCAAAGTTGGAAATAGTAAAAAAGGAATAGTAGTTGGAAAATATGGGCTTGGTGATAGAAATGATAGAGGAATATAATTAATTTTGTATTTACAATAGTTTATCTATGGCAAAAGCCTTTAAAAAAACACACAAACAAATTTACTCATGGATCTCACTTGATGGGCTGCATAGGAATCAGACTGACAATAGTTATAGAATAAATCATTGGAGAAGCACAATATTGGCAGTCAAAATTAGACCAGGAGCAGACTTTTGGTCAATTCCTCATTATGCAAGTTCAAATTGAGCCAAAGAAAACTAAAATAAGTCTGCAGAAACCAAGATACGATCTTAAATCTATTCCATCAGAATTTCAATATCATCTTAGGAATAGTTTTAAGACATTAAACACCAATGATCAAGGATCAATGAGTTGTGGGATGATATCAGAGATAACATCCATAAATGAAAAGCAAAAGAAAGCAAAAGATAATTACAAAAATGGACAAGAAAGAAAAAATAAAACACAACCTGAAATGGATGTTAGAAAAGACTCTAAATATTTCACCAGAATGTCAAGATACTAAACACAAAGGGAAAACATGCTGAAGTAAAAGAGCTGAACAGAAGATTTCAAAGGGCAGCTCAAGAGGGCAAAGCAAAGTATGATTATGGAATGTGCAGAGAGCTTGGGTGTGATTGGAGAAGAAAAAGGGAAGAAATAACTTTACATTTCTCAAGCTAAGAGAACTGAAAAATAAACTTAAACTTCAAATCCTAATATTGAAAGATGCTATGGGCTATATATATTGAAAAACTCAGAGAGCATCAAAAGAAAATTGGAATACACAGAATCACTCTACCCAAAACAACTGATTGACACTGAAAAATTTCTGGAAGCATCATCATATGAGCAGGAGCCAATGGTAATGAAGTAGGGAGTGGAAACTGCATTGAAGACATTGGCAAAAAATAAGATCCCAGGAATTGATGGAATAGCAATTGACTTGTTTCAATTAACAGGTGCAGCATTTGGATGCACTCAAGTCTATGCCAGGAAATTTGGAAGACAGCTGTCTGGGAAATGGATAAGAAGAAGTCTGTATTTGTTCCCATTCTCAAGAAAGGTTATCCAAGAGAACATGAAAACTATCAAACAATATCGCTAATATCATATACAAGCAAAATACTGCTGATGATCATTTAAAAACAGCTAGAACACTAAATAGATAGAGAACTGCCAGAATTTCAGGCAGGATTTAAAAAAGGGAGTGGCACCAGGGCTATCATTGCTGATGTCTGATTGATCCTAGCTGAAAGTAAAGAATGCCAGAAGAATGCCTATTTGTGTTTTATTGATTATGCAAAGGAATTTTACTGTGTGCATCATAACAAGCTGTCGCTGACATTGAGACTAATGGAAGCCTCACAGCATTTAATTGAGATCATGCAAAATCTAAACCTGAACCAGGAGGCTATTGTGCATACAGAAAAGAGAAACACAGCATAGTTTAAAATTAAGAAGGGAGTGTGTTAGGGTTGTATTCTTTTTCCATACGTTATGCAGATGACACAACCCTGCTTGTTGAAACTGAAGAGGACCTGAAGCACCTGCTGCAGAGGATCGAG